CAAAAACAAGCAATTGTAACAGTAATAAAAAGCACCATTATTCACTGCCCATAAGACACAGACTATCTAATAATCCATTCTAATTCTACTTGAATTAACAGGCAGATAATTAAAACTCGGCAACTTAGAGCACGGTCATCTATCTTACCTGTTCTTTCTTTCTTTTAATCTGTTCACATGCCACACTCTGGGGTGTAAATAGGAACTGTGTGTACCTTTCTTGGAACAAAACGAATCTACGGCAAAGCTCACCCATCCTTAAAAATGCATGCAGTTATTAAAACAGTTGTATGTCATCCTTCAAAGTAGTAAAATTTCCCAAGATTGTTTGCAAAATTATATGTATGTATGTATGTATGTATGTATTTATTTATTTAGTGTATGCCCAAATATGGGAGAAGGCCTATTGCTTCCTTTCTCTGTCTATCGGCTCTTCACAAGAGACCATCCAGACAGAAAGCCAATATTTTTACCGTTGCCTTTATTACATTTGTATTGTATTTGTGCTGATAAATAATTTTATTTATTTATTTATCAGCACAAATACAATACATACACACACACACACACACACACACCACAGTCCTCATATTTACAACTGTCACAGCATTCAGACGGTCATATGATCAAAATCGGGTGCTTTGCAACCAGCAAGTATTTGTAATGATTGCAGTCATGTGACCGGAGTCATGTGATTGCCATTTGTGACCTTCCCAGCCAGCGTTTGATAAGTAAAATCAATGAGGAAATTCAGATTTGCTTAACAACCACATGATGTAGGAGATGAGCAGGCTGAGCCCGAAGGAGGAGTCAAACGTGTCATAAGTCATGAATCCTTGCGCTCCCGCAAGAGATCTAAGTCCAGCCTACCTTGAATGCCTTTCTTATCCCCCGCTCATTTCCCTTGACTGTTAGGCCAGATTTTTGTAGAGAGCTTAAGCTTGCAATAAATCTTTTAAATCTTGCAATAATTATTATTAGATCACACAGATTAGGCCTCCTCCGAGTTCCATCTGCCAGTCAGTGTCGACTGGCAACTACGCGGAGGAGAGCCTTTTCAGTAGTAGCTCTGACCCTTTGGAACGATCTCCCCGTGGAGATTCGTACCCTTACCACCCTCCAGACCTTCCGCACAGCCCTCAAGATCTGGCTATCCCGTCAGGCCTGGGGTTAAAGATTATAATCCGTCCCCACCCGAATGATGAATGTTGCTTCTATTTTTAATTATGTATTGTTTCATATGTCATTGTGTGTATTCCCTACCCCATAAGTTGTAAGCCGCCCTGAGTCCCCTCAGGGAAAAGGGCGGCCTATAAATAAACTTATCATATCAAATAAACTTATCATATCATAAATCTTTTAAACTGCCTAAAGTTTCCTGGTGCTTGACACGATTCACTTAATAATTTTAGTTTTGTTTAACAACCGCAGCAAAAAAATAAACCTTTTAAAATCAGCTGCACTCACTTAACAATCACTTGCTTAGCAACGGGAATTCTGGTCCCAGCTGAGGACTGCCTGAATCCAGAAAATATTCTGCCGCAACCCAAACGGGAAATTTATAGATGAATCACAAAAATGATGAAGATGAAAAGGGACAAAGTTACCCTATAGAGAAAACCTATACACATGCACTGGGAGGTAATCCTGTTCACTTAAGTGCATAAAAGAACCTTTTGAGGCTCACTAATTCAAAGCAAGCATTGCCAATTATTGTATACGCTTTGATTTTCCTTTATCCGAGGGATCAGAACGTGGTATCTAGAGCTGCCAAAAAAGCTGCGAGAAAAAAGGTTGAATTTAAAAAAAAAACACGATTGAAATTTCACATGCTCTTTCAAAGTTTCATAAGATTTTGATGATTCTCCATGAGATAGTGGTGTTTTTTTAAAATAAGGTCACAGAAGAAGATGGCTGAGACTTTGTAGAATTTCAGGTGGTGTTGAAGAGGCAATCTGAAAAATGATTTTTTGATGAAAATCTGGTTCCTATTTCCTCAAATTTGCAGGGAGCAAAATATTAAAGAGCTGAGGTGGTACAGTGGTTAGAGTGCAGTACTACAGGCTACTTCAGCTGACTGCTAGCTGCAGTTTCGCAGTTCAAATCTCACCGGCTCAAGGTTGACGCAGCCTTCCATCCTTCCAAGGTGGGTAAAATGAGGACCCAGACTGTTGGGGGCGATAGGCTGACTCTGTAAACCACTTGGAGAGGGCTGTAAAAGCACTACGAAGCGGTATATAAGTCTAAGTGCTATTGCTATTGCTAAATGCAATTGATGGCTAAGGAAGAAGTAATACAGTGTTTTTCAATCTGGGCTATTCTTTGAGGAGTGGACTTCAACCCCCAGAATTTTCCAACCAAAAATTCTGGGAATAGAAGTCTACCCATCATAGAGTAGCCAAGGTTGAGAAATACTGAAATAGTAAATTTAGAGCCTTCTGGAAGGATGGAAGGCTGAGTCAACCTTGAGCCTGGTGGGATTTGAACTGTTAAATTGCAGGCAGCCGGCAGTCAGCAGAAGTAGCCTGCAGTACTGCATTCTAACCACTGCACCACTGAGGCTGTTCAACTCCCCAAGAATACTATTTTATTAAGATTGGCTATAATAAGAGAATTTTGAAACTCTTAATTACCTCCTTCTCCTTCTTATACTCCAATGAGTGGAAGTCCACAAGTCTTAAAGTTGCCAAGGTTGGACATCCCTGATCTCTATTGTACTGTATGTGATATCGTTGTCACACAGGTAATCCTTGACGTACAACAATTTGTGTAGTGACCATTTGGATACAACAGCAGCACTGGAAAAAAGTGACTTTTGACCATTGCAGTGTTTCCAACAGTCACATGATTAAAATTGGGGCACTTGGCAACAGGCACCTATTTAGGATGGAGGCAGCATCCCAGGGTCACGTGATCACCATTTGCAAGCCTTCCCAGCTGGCTTCCGACAGGGCAAAATCAATGGCGAAAGATGAATGTGCTTAAAAGTAATTCCACATATCTCAGCAGCAGCAGCAGCTTGCAATCTCGGTGTTATTTCTTACCCAAGCCCCACTTTTCAGTAGTGGGATTCTAAAATGTTAGCAACCTGTTCTCTGCCCAGTTGCTGCGGGGCCATAGCCATGGTGGGCGTGGCCTACTTGGCCTCCTTCATCACAGCTGGGGATGGGTAGGGCGTTTTCACCCTCCCTCAAACTCTGAAGCCGGAAACAGGCCCGTTTTTGGACTTCCAGAAGGCCCGATTTTCCCCCTCCCAGATCCTCCACGCAGCCTCTGCATTTAGCTGGCATCCAAAACGGGCCATGTGGTGACTCCTTGGAGGGGTGGGGTGGGGGGGCAGGGCCAGTGGGTCCTTCCAACTACCAGTTCGCCCGAACTGGTGCAAACCGACTGAATCCCACCACTGCCCCTTTTGGTTTGCATGTATTTATTGATTTTTTTTTTTTAAAAAAAACTGGGCTTTGTGGTATTCTCCTCGCTCTGGTTTTATTTCACAACACATTCTTATCTGGGGTGAGCCGGCTATTTTGTTGACTATTGATGCTTCTGCACCAAAATGCGAATTCAATTGCCTTCTAAATGCCCTAGAGCTTTCGGCATGCTGTAATTTAAAGACCGTGAAGCAAAATGAAAGCAGATAAAATAGTTTTCTTCCCTTTGACGGGGGGGATTATAAAATTAGCAGAGAAAGTAGGAGCGTAATAAGAGAGAATCCCTCAGGGGATGTAGACTATATCGGAGCCCTTCTTGCAAGCAGGTTCCAGCCAAGCTTTTCCTTCTGCTCCAACTTGGGATCGCTCTCTCTAGTATTTAGCTTCCCCTATAATTTTCCAGCCTTTGCTTGTCAGCAATATTTACCAAACGCTGAATGCAAAAGGCACTTGGGTGGATTCATTTTCAAAGCTAAATCTTACCTTTTGGACCAGAGCTTCATGGAAGGGGGAGGAAATTTTTTTCCTGGCTGAGATGTTTGCCATTTGCAAGCCATATTTGGTCAGTGAGACAATTAAAAGAATGACTAAAGTAAAGGCAAAGGTTCCCCTCGCACAGATGTGATAGCCATTTCTGACTCTAGGGGGCAGTGCTCATCTCTGTTTCAAAGCCAAAGAGCCAGCACTGTCCGAAGACGTCTCCGTGGTCATGTGGCCGGCATGACTAAGCACTGAAGGTGCATGGAACGCTGTTACAGTTGGCAGAACCTGGGACAAGAAACGGGAGCTCACTTCATTACGCGGCGCTAGGGATTCGAACCACCGAACTGCCAACCTTTCTGATCGACAAGCTCAGCGTCTTAGTCACTGAGCCTCCCTTAATAAGTATGTCTATCTCTGTGGTCTTTTTTTCAGAATGGTTTTGAACTTCCTAACGGACTTGATGTTNCTTAGAGAGGGCTGAAAGCCCTATGAAGCGGTATATAAGTCTAACTCCTATTGCTATTGTCTCTGATTATCTTTGCCAATCTAATAAGATCTGACAGGGTAGGTATTTTCCAGATTCTGTCATTTTAGCAATATCATTTGGTGGAATACAGGAGACCTACCTTCTCTATCACAACCATGCCCCAATGATCTGAAGGGTTTGCCTTCTGTAAAGCCTTGATGAGCCATTTTATTTCTCCCCTCCCCTCTCCACACATCAGAAGCTTTTCATGTTTTTCAAACACACCCAGATAGTTTGCTTTTAATTGATTAATTATTTAACCATTTTATTATACTTTATTTTAACAATAGTATACTGTTTTAATTGTATGTCATCCTGAGTTTATGTAAGGAGAGCAATTATAAAAATTGCCTAAATATAATAAATATTTTATTTTGTAATCCTCTTGATGATATAGAAAGCTTTTGTATAAACATATAGTGTAACAATATATCATTACTGGTACTTTTTATTTTCATTGTTTATACTTCCATCATCATTTTTTCTAACAAATATGTTGGATAAAGAAACAATGTATCTTGCCATAAACATCCTACATATTAAGAAATTGGAAAATGTACCTCCACGACCAAAATTCCCAAGATCACTTGGTCCATTGGTACTGTTGTTAACAGGAAGGCTGGTAGCAGGCCAAGAATCCGCAAGCCAAGGATAACTTGGATCACTTGCATTTAACAAGCCTGGCCGACTAAAGAAATCCAATAATAAAGTGTTACTGTGAGAAATCTATGCAACTGTAATAAACACATTTAATTTGCTCCACAAATTGTTGTAACAATTCTATGAAATTTGTAAAGTAATTTTATATTAAAATGGTAAATTCTGTGCACTTAAAAATCTTTAAAGTAAAATTGGATTCTGTATAAACCTGACACATTGCCTGTAGAAACTGGTGGCATACCCACACACAGTTTGCTGTAATCCCTAGGAATTCTATTGTCTGGGCTGAAAAGAAGGAATAGGCTGTACCACTGAAAGATCCTAAGCTAGGAAGAAATGATAAATTACTATCTCAAGGGAATAATCATTCAAAGTGACTGTTCTATATCAACCATTTCCAGTCCTCTGGTGACTATTTTTTCACTTCCTGCATACCAAATGTATGTCTGTTATCTAGAAGATGCTAGATTTTCCTCTGAGTGCTCTTGCATGAATTTAAAAGCAAGCAAGTTTAAATTGGATTAATGGAAAATTCAAGGCAGCAATTCTACCTATCGCAGCAGACTTCCATGTGTTTGTTTTCAGTTTTTGTAAACTCCTGAAGACAGAATATGTATTGACTGAAACAAATGGATGAGATATACACTAGGTTTAATATAAAAGCCAAGATATACACTAGGTTTAATCTTGTTCTTAAAATTTGGTAAGATAAATAAAGATGGAGAGAAAATATGAAGCAAATATATTGAGAGTATATTTATTAACATTTTTAAAAGCAAAAAGTAACAGTGGGAATCAGAATTTTGTATTAGGTCTTTCATCAGATGTTTGTACATTACATTTATGACAGTATATTTTTTTTCTTGCACCCCCAATAATCCCTTTTGTATAATTTCAGAGAGAAATATGGGTTTCTATAGAAACGGCAATAAGACCATCACACAGCTTGCTTCTCATTTATGTACTCTCATTAGACTTAATCCCTTTTTTGCTAAAATATTGATTCAATGGGAGATGGGAAGTTATTACCAGATCCTAATTACAGACTCCATATTGGCACTGAGAAAATATATGAGGATATATGGGTCGGTTATCAACTTTTATCAATTTCAATTGAGTGGCCAAAGTTGTAGAATCTAGTCCTATCAATTTACAACTTATTCATCTTCTGTGAATCATTTATTTTGTGAACGATTGTGTGTAATTGCTCATTCACTACAATTTAATGGAAGCCAATAAGGTCTCTTAAACAACAGCAACTTCATTTACTAATGCCTAATTAATGCAACAACTATCCTGAAAACAAATGAATACATTCCTTCTGATATTTTCTACTAATTTCTTCTTGGGCATCTGGGAGTTATCAAACATCTGGGCTTGATTTCTTTAAGTGTACAGCAGATCATTAAAAGCCAGTTTAATCCTTTTAATTCCTCCTAGAATTGCTACTTATACATCTGATCGTCTCTCTCTGTCGCTAGCTCCTACAAAAAAAATTAAACGAGCTAAACATATGAGAAATTCAAAAAGAGGTATGATCTGTAAATTACAAGTATACCTTCCATTGCTCATAAGTCCTCCATCTCCTCTTTGAAAAGTGACTGGTTTGTGTTTCAAATAGAAAAAAAGGGGAAAGGTGCATTAGTATTTTATACTGAGTGAAATTATAATATGAAGATAATTCATAAAGTCAAAAGGCCTATACTCCACCTACCTGAAGATTATATTTTAAACGAGATAACAAAGTATAAGGATAGCAAAAGCCAATGTAATTCCTATTTCCTCAGCATAATGTGTGTGTTAATTTAAGTTATTCTCTTTCAGTGACATGCTCAAAGGATAATTTATTTTGGATTTCTTGTCATTATGGAGTTTATTGCAATTTTCTAAAATCAACTGACTTTTGATTTATAACACACTGAGCCCAAAGCCACTGAAATTGTGCAGGTCTCTTAAAACCTTTACCTTTATTTCTCTAGCTAAATTAAAATGAAACTACACACTCTAACATGCTACTGCTTAATGAAATAATAATGATGTTATAGTTATAATCATGTCATCACAAAAAAGTTAGACGTGAAAAACATGTTAAAACTGAAAACAGAAAAAAATTGTTTCACAGTTTTTCACAAAAAACTTGTTTCACAAAAGTTTCACAGCAAATGCTTCATTTTTCATGCTGTATTATCTTTATTACATAATTGTGTAAGTTGATAATGTAATTAAGACTACATCATAAGCCCATTTTAAATCAGCTCAGTAAATAGTCACAACAGTCCAATCACAATGTTCTCAGCAAAGTAGCTGTTAGCTATTAAAATCCAATATTTAGGAAATTATTTTCCTTAAATGACAATCCAGGAGACTTTGCATTTGGCTCTGGAAATCATATATGTCTGGAAGAAGGCACCCAAAATTTCTGTGCCAGTTGCTAAAGAGTAAATATGACTTCAGACACTTTGAAGCCAATAGCAAGAGCAGCAGCTGAAAAGAGGCAAAATGGATTGACTCAGGTTGACTCAGTCTTCCAGCCTTCCGAGGTCAGTAAAATGAGGACGTAGATCATTGGGGGCAAAATGCTGACTCTTTAACCTTTTAGAGAGGGCTGTAATGCACAGTGAAGGAATATATAAGTCTAAGTGCTATGACTATTTCTGTTATATCCATTTACTACAGTGTTATGCAATAGATTAGGCTGATTCAAATTCAATATCTATTAAATATTTCATATTAGCACAGCACAATTTACATTCAGATGTAGTGTGGCTACCTTGTAGAAGTGGAATTCATAGACATATGTTGAAACTCTCTGTGTATGATTTTTTACCATATACGTTCCCATTAATATATAAATATTGCTCAGAAACATTGATAAATAATAATACATAAATAATAAATAATACATTTTAACATAGGCTATTTTTTTTCTTTTTTTCCTGCAATATCATTCATACCACAATCACAGTCAAACAATTATAATGATTCAAGACTGAAATATTATCACTGTAGTTATTAGAATATAAAAAAAATATCTATACCTTCTGGGGAAACACTACATTCATGTTATCAGTTCGACAAGTGGCTTCATGATATCCATTTAATACCAGTAAGAACAAAGGAGGTCCCTTTAGGACACCTCACAGAATAAATTTAAGAATGGATGATTAATTGCCTATCACCACTGAGTAAACAATAATTGATGCTTAAGGATCAATATAGATATACTTCATGTTAAAATGGTGCTGTACCCATTGGGAAATTAATACATATTCAGTTTAAATATTGCTTCTTATTATATTGTCAGTGATAATCATTAGATACATTAGATTGAATGGATGCTTTACAATATGCAAGAAAAATATTTATGAGGTTATATTTTTATATTTTTAAATTCCAAAACTATGTGACTATAACAGTGTTAGATCCTCCCTCACCCTTTTTTCTTACTTCTTGTTTACAAAATATTATGGAAGTCAAAATAATATCTAACCTACTTTAGCTAAATTTATAAACATAATCTGCAAGTTTTTATTATGAATTTGATTTACACTACTTATTATTGGAATTTAATAGACTGATTTCAAGACAGCATTTTTGGTTAAAAAATAACATAGATATGGTCTAGTTCATTTATAGTTTTTCATAACTTTCTACTTTGAAAAGAATTAACTGGCTTTCACATTTATAGCAAGAATTTCAGTTAAAAATACCCTTGTATTAAATGATCATAATTTCTGCAAATATGTGCTGTCTTTCCAAGCTTAATACAAAACTCTTCAGAGGTTAAATGGGAAAAAAAGTTTATTATCTACTCAAAACTACAGCTACCACAATTAATATATTTCCAAAGCAATTCAAATTATACTTACACATATCTTTACATACTATTAAGAATGTACAAATAGTTCTTTTTAACTTTACTTAATTATGAACATTATGTCTGTTTTTTAATAACAATCAACATTATGTACGAAAAGACAAGGATATGGAGCTATGAGAACCGAAACATAGAACTAATTGAAACATAATAGCTCTAAATAGAAGCATAGAATATAATCAGAAAGTTAAAGGTGTGGAATACACAGTGGGATTGAATTTTTTTTTTTTTAGTATCGGAGATCATTATGACAAGTAGAATATGCGATAGCTACAAATATTCTGTAAACAATTGGACTTATGTGCTAAGTAAAGCCGATTTTTTTTCTAAATTTATGATGTTCCTGATGAAAGAAAACTTGCATTTCTTTATTATCCTCATGTACTGGCAACTGTCTACAAATAATTATTAAATAGGAAATTTCTTCTGGATATATATCCTATAATTTAGTATTTTATCCAAATTCAAATTTATTTCAATAAAATTTAATTGACAGTGTGTTGAGTCTTTGAAAGTGTCCATATAATCCTACTCATTGAAATTGCTTTATTCCTGTGCCTTCTGTATCCCTTTTTCAAGAATTTGGAATAGTTTCTATGGAAGCACATATAATTCACCTGAATATTTTTGGAACCCACCTACAAAAATTATTGGACATATGTCCTAAAAACTAATTTTAAACAAGAAAATGACAAAGAAAGTGGCTGGTATGATGAATTAAGCACCATGTTAGATGTTTCTATCTGTCGTTTTCTGTGATTTCTAGAAATATAGATTAAGGGTAAACTGTTAAATACTGTAGAATATATATTATGCATAAAGATTATTACCATGCAAGCAGATTTTATTAATCTGAATTCAACTAAATTTAATAGAAGTAATATCATGAAGATAAAAAAGGAGATAGAGTATATCTCGTTACCATTATTCTACTTATGTCTTACCTATAGTATTTGCACAAAAAATGTTCAATTTGTATTGCCTTACATAGATGTTTAAATGCTGAAGAGTAATCATCATTTTTAACATAGAATTAGACTTTATAAAAAATGAATATAGAAATTTTAAAACCGGAACAGGGAAATTAGACTTCTTGAAATATTATGTTATTAGGAGTTTTTTCAACAAATAAGATGGTTAAGCAATCATTGTTAATATGAGATTTGGGGATGGCACCTCCAAATGCCCCATATAATTAAATCTTTCACAGTTAAAATGGAGAAAGCAGAAAATAAAGTCATACATGGATGAAATATTTACAATATCATCTGGCAAAGTTTAACCTAACATTAATACTGGCTAGGGTAGAAAAAAAAATTAAACACTCTGAGCTGACATTTCAAGGCAAAAGAGCTTTGTGAAAGGCTATCTCCAGTAGGCCACATTTTCCAACTACAAATAAAAACTTCAATGCTGCCAGCCGAGTCTCATTCCTTTTTCTGATAAGCTTTTCCTCAAATGTGAATATAGACTAATCCTCTTTTAATAAGTATTACCTCAGAAAAGATAATCAATGTTGAAAATTTTACCAAAACTTCTGCTTGTGTGGATGATTCTGTTGAACAAATTATATTAATCTACACTATTAGTAAATATTTAGCTATTCCTTTTTACTTTGAATTTAAATTAATTTATTACTTGCATCAGAATGTTTAATTTCCAGAAGGGTGCATACCTATTGTTTGTAAACAAAGATGTAATTTTAATTCAGATTGACATAGTCATAACACACTTCTTGATTTCTTGAAAATGGATGTATTAATAAATTCAGAACATATAGGAATTAATTCTCATCTTTCAGTAGATATCCACTGCATATATAAAAAGACATAATGCTTATATTCTGTTTTCCATGTTACAGATACAAAACATCCAGAAAAAGAAAATACCATATTCTTTTTCAGTCCTACTGGCTTTAAACAATAATTTTATTTAAGTAAAGATAATTTCATCTTGGCTATGGGATGATTTTAACACAACCATTAATAACTTTGTGGATGCACTGAGACAAGAGGGCAATAATTTGCAAGTGGATAAGATATTGTTCTGCATTCCCAACATAATCCACAGATCAATGATTTTCTAATGTACTCCAATTCAAGTATAATCCAGGTGTATAATTTCTACTTAATTACTTCAGGTTCTGCAAAGATATTGAGTGCCACACATAAGGATTTTGGATAACTGGACATATGCTTGTAATATAGCAGTGTAGTAGAACTTTGGAATTTTGCTATAATGTTCATTGGTTTTTGTAGGGTAAAACGCCTTTTGTATTCTAAGATTGAAAAGATAGATAAATCAATTTTTAAAACTTAAATGTATACTAGATATCTACATCAACCAATATAACATCATAAATCTGGATGTGAGGAGAGATTAAACTTTATTTCCATAAGACAGAGCCTCCACTGCAGACAAGATATTCTTGATGAATACCTGATTATGTATGATCCTTGTTTCTCTGCTATTATTTTGTTCACCTGCCTTTTTTGGTAAGTGAGAATAAGAAAAATATTATGAATTGAATCCCTACATGTCAGGCTCCTCATGCAGAACAATTTGTTCATATATAATACAAAATAAAGTACTATTTTGATAAACAGTATATTAGCACCACACTGGATGTACGAATGAAGAAAACTATATTATTATTATTATTATTATTATTATACAATTGTATCACAGTGGCCAGTTGTTTCGCCGGATTTGGCATTGGTTACTAGTCGGGCCCCACCCAGGGGCCTAGGACGTCGTAACGTATTTTCGTAATATGCGTGCAGATCCAAGCAGTGCGGCTTTTTGCATTTGACTGATGGTGATTTTGTCAATTTTTAACTGTTTTAAATGTAATTCCAGTGCTTTTGGAATAGCACCCAGTGTGCCAATTACCACTGGAATTACCACTGCTGGTTTGTGCCATAGTCGTTGAATTTCAATTTTTAAGTCCTGGTATCTTGCGATTTTTTCATGTTCCTTCTCGACGACCCTGCTATCACCTGGTATTGCGATATCTATGATTGTGACCTTATTTTTCTCAACCAGTGTGATGTCTGGTGTATTATGCGCCAGTATTTTGTCGGTTTGTATACGGAAATCCCACAAGATCTTGACCATCTGATTTTCGGTGACTTTTTCAGGCTGATGTTCCCACCAGTTTGTTGCTGTTTTAATATTATAATTTTTGCACAAATTCCAAATGGATCATTTGTGCTACTGAATTGTGCCACAATTTATAATTAGTCTGTGCGATTTTTTTACAGCAGCTGAGTATGTGATCAACAGTTTCATCAGCTTCTTTGCAAAGTCTGCATTTGGCATCATCAGAGGATTTTTCGATTTTGGCCTTAATGGCATTTGTGTGGATAGCTTGTTCTTGCGCAGCCAGGATTAGTGACTCTGTTTCTTTCTTTAATGTACCTGTTGTTAACCATAACCAAGTTTGTTCACTGTCCACTTTATCTTTTATTTTTTCCAGAAATTGGCCATGCAGTGCTTTGTTCTGCCAACTCTCCATTCTTGATTTTATCACATCTTTTCTGTATTCTTGTTTCGTCTGTTGGGCCTTCAGTAGATTTTTGTTCTTTACTTCGATTAATAGATGTTCTTGACTTTCTTTTAAATAATCAGCCATTATTATTATTAGTATTAGTATTATTATTATTATTATTATTGGTTGCATAGTCAGCCCCTGAGTTTAGTGTGGATGTGGCATTTTTGTACATCTGTTGAGACTTTCCCAAGGACAGTGGATAGGCAGATGTTATTGTTTAATAATATAAAAGGTATCACCACAGGATGTAAATTGTTTATTATTATGGTCTGTACAATCGCAAGATGTTTATTATCATAAATTGCCCAATTATCAGATATTTAAACTGGATTTGGCATTTTTATACTTATTGAGTCCTTACCAAGGACCTGGGGTAATGTATGTCACATTGTTTGACAATATTAAGGGTACTGTCACAGGATGTAAACTGATCCAAGTAAAGTTTGATGATTTATCAATGCCAATGGTTTTCAACTGGTAATCCAGATATGTTAGAATTGTATTTTGCCAGAGTCATTCTATTTCTATTTGCAGTTCTTTGTATTTTGTTACCTTCTCCAGTTTTTTCTTTTCTATTCTGTTGCCTCTTAATAGTACTTTTTAAGCTGTAAGTTCCTACCAATTTTTCATTCCTGGAAGATAATTTTTACAGATGATCCAGTGAATCATTTTGTTGACTGTATTATTTTGTTGTTTATAATCAATTTGCGTGATCTTCCTGCATGAGCTAAGTATATGAACTACTATCATTTGATGATTTTTGAATTCTGGCCTTGATTGCATTAGTTTGAACTGTTTGGTCTTGAGCAGGCAAAAGTAAGTATAGTTTCTTTTTTTAATGCTTCAGTTGTGACCAGTTTCTAGATATTATTTTTATCTATTTTCCTCTCCTTCCTTTATATACCAAGCCAGTGCATACATCTCCAAAAATGTGTTTGACATGAAATAAACCCTTACCTGCACTTCTGCAGGATAGATACAATCCATAAATATCACTATGGAGATACATAGTGAATAGTCATCATTTTTCTTGTTTTTCAGTGCAAACTGTCTATAATTCCAGTAATATATAGTTTCACAAATATAGTCCAGGTATTGATGACTTGGATGATCTTTCTACTGTTTGGATTTATGGGATAGAATGTTCATGATAGTATCAAGTATCCAGTTTTCCTACTGGGATTATTCCCTTCTTGAAATGTATTTGCATTCAACTTTGAGGGTGGACTTTTATTTTGATACAGAATATGTCTACAATTAGAGAACTAATTCCAGATCCTGAAGCTGTCCCAATGAAATAAACTTGTCCTTTTGATCAATATTATTTCTTAAACAGTTGGCATTTATCCACCTTGAAGAAGTCTATTTTCCATTGTGAATTCATAAGGTTTTCTGATAAATAATACTGCAATGACAGATAATACTATTTTTCTTCCTAGGTATGTTTCTAAACTATATTTCTCTTTCTCCAAACAAGCAGTCAGAAAACCTTAGCACAGACAGTCAAATGTTTTCATGGTTTATTGTGGACTATTAAAGGGAGTCATATGGTTAACATCTTTACACTGGACATCACATGCTGTGAGGTTTTGGCCACTATCAGTAAGCACTTGTGATCTCCTGCTGAGGTTTGAAAGAGACACAAGTAAAACAAGATATAAGTGAGTTATCAAAGCTGAAAGAGAAAGAGAGAGAGGAGAAAGGGAGAGAGAGATGGAGCTCTCAGAGACATCAGAAACAACTCAATAGCTAAATTTAGAATGAAGAAATTGAAAAAGTTGTAAAAGCTGGTTTGGTAAAAGTTAAGGACATAAGCAAATTAAAATTAGTTTTTTATGAAGTTAAATAAAAAGGAACTCAATAACTACTTATGTTATTATTTTATTAAAATGCATTCAAAACAAGTGAAATAACCACAGATGTATTATCCACTTCTATGTACTATAAATACCACTCTATATTATTATACAGAATTAACTAGTGAAATTAGTCATTAGACCATATTCTCCAAATCGGGAAGAATTTCCAGAACTTTTAATAAGTTCAAAATGTAGCTACAGAATTCATGTTACTTTAATTCAACGACAGCTTTACTAGCTATAAATTGAAAAAATGGTGATGTTTAAGTGAAGCTTTAGATCCTAAAGTCATAAAAATATGAGGTTCTCTAACCAAAGATTTTAGAAGCCTTTGTTTGACAGAAAGTTCCACTTGAGTCAGTTGTTGAACATTATGTTGGCTTGCACTTATCATTTGTGATAGATTGTAATTGATGATTCTGTCTCTTTGGTTGCTTCTATCAAATTGTAAGTTTCAAATATTTTAAACTCATTATGATTCTTCAAAACAAATAAAAGCAAAATATAAACCTTTTAAAATGTATCTATTCATTTGTGTGCTTTGGAATGCTCACTTCAAATACTCTGAATTTATTTGAAATAGACATAGATAAACATTTACTAAAAGATTATTATTGACTTAATAATACCTATTGCTTTCCATGAGCATACAGTATGTACTATGGGAGAGTTCTTTATGTGCTATTATTTTTTCCCCATATAATTTTATTGCACTCAATTATATGTTAGATTTTATAAAGGAGTTCTAAGGAAGTAAATTTTGAATCCGATTTTACAAATATTTTTATTTCTATGACATAGATTTCATAAATCTATAAATATGTATAATTATATAAATGTTTTCAATTAGAATGGGTTATGTATGAATAAGTTATTGCCTGCCATGTGAATTTAAGGGTGTTAACTTTTGATAATATCTACCGTATAATTAAACTCAAAAAATCTACAAAAGCAGGAAACTATAATATAGATTATATCTATATTAAACTATAATATAAATTACCTCAATTTTGCAAGTTTGTACATTCGTACTGTATCTTCTGCTTTCACTTCAAACAATGCCTATTAAATTATTTTTAAATGAATAATTAAGAATAAAAAATTAACAAAGCTGAAAGTGTGAGCATGGATTTTTAAGGATAGATATATTAATATTATAATATAGCATTCTTTTACAATCACTGGTAAAATACCACATTAGTATGACTTATAAACAGAATGCTGATTCTTGCACGCACGTTTTAAATTATTTTATAAATTGAATAATTATAATGGATTCATTTGTATGGTGCTGGGGGAAAGAGAACTAATGGACAGTACCTGCAGGGGTGAAGGTGAAGGACTGTACTGCAAAACAAGAAAAGTAAATACATTGTGAGTTATAAAACTCTTAAGCAATGCCAATTACAGGGCATGGCTGTCTTTCAAAAATAAATGCTACATGTTGTAAAATCAGGCTCAAATTATAACAATTCACATTTAAGCATTAGCAGCGGCCATTAATAGAAGATTGAACATAAATGCATGGGTTTTTATATGTATATGAAATAGTTACATGGACATGCAAGCTGGCAGCATATAGATGCTATATTTTGCTTTCAAATGTAATTGATTATGAATTTTCATTATCAGGCAAATGCAACATTTAACAATAAATATAGAAGTGTGTATAATATGACACACTTTAAAGTGATACAGGAGTTAATACCATATGCATAAATTTTGGAATGAAAATTATACAGGTATTATGTTTTTGATCATGGTTTTATGCTGACTAAAAGTATATGGTTGCCAGAAAAGAACCATTTTTTTGCATGCTTTAAAATATATTTATTCTGAGTATATATTTTGCATATATGGTAAACCTACAAATTGTTAGATGTTACAAAACTATTTATAGAAACATGCTGTTATACATAACAGAGATGTCAAGCAATTAAATGAGATTTGAAGAAGTATGTATTTAGCACATCTGATGTTTCTGGATATCTAAATAAAGCAGCAAATCTATTACTCCTCCCTTAAATATGTAAACATGGTTATTTAATCATTCTAATGGTGATTTATAAAGTAGGGAAGTAACTTTACTTTATAAAATTTATAAAGCAGAATTACAGCAAATCCCTACCGCCCACCATAAAAGCTGGAACGCCCACTAGTGGGCGGTAGGGATCAGGTTGACTACCACTGTTCTAGATAATAAAACATAGCTACCTATAGTGCCATTGAGCTTATTTATATAATTTTTGAACAAAATTTATCTACTTCCTTAAAAAAGAGAAAGTTGGAAGTGCTATATTTATTGTAAGGAAAAGGGAAAAAAATCTGCAAACCAAACATTGATTTTAAAATTATAACCATAAATGTATGTAATCATTAAGAAAAAAAAATAAGAAGAGTCTGAAATTTGATCTGAATAGCAAACAGCTAAAGTTTCACTGTATTCAAATAAAACATGAATAATACTTTTCTTCAAAAATAATGAATCAAAATTGTAGAGAATTTCACAGCCTTCTTATTTTGTTGCAATAGAAAATGCAATATTAATATTCTTGCTTCATATTAGTCTTAATCCAGAAGGCAGCATGAAGAATATTAAAGGTCTTTTGCTTTATACTGATTTCAGTTCAATATAACTAAGTGAACTAAGCTGATGACCATAGGGCCCTTATAAAAAAAGTGTTTTAATGTAAATTAACTTTTTAGGTGCTTATTTTAGGCATTTTTACATTGCTTTCAGACCATGGAACCAAAACCTTATGTGATCTAAAATAATAAAAAAACACAAGAGAAGATTCCAAAATTTATCCTTATGCGTTTCCATTTCTTTCATAAATAGAAAAATGTGTCCTGCACTCATGTGAATGCTCTCAGTTTTTTATAATGTTTTATCAAAAATAAGTAGAATGTTTATTTACAATGTATCCAGTATTATCAAACAAAGTTAGATTGCCTCTAACTCAGCTATCATTTAATTACTTAATGAACACAAATTAGGACATCATTAGGACAAAATCAGTACATTTGAATGTACTGATTCTCTTTCATTCATTTAGGGTGGAAAGTGAAATCACATAATGAAGACATATTGGTCTCCACTTCAATTAATTTGGTTATGATTATATGATTGAAAATAATGATGATTTAACAAGTTGATGTTTAGTAACCTGAGCTTATCAATTCCACTTTATTTATATACTTCCTTCTTTACTTTTGCAAATAAATAAGCCTGCTGAATTTGTCTTTTACTTAGGGAAAAGTTGTATCTAAAATTCTTGGGCTTCTTATATCAGATGTACTTATTGGATGAATATTAGACAGCTTTCTGGTAGCAATGATGAAATGTTATACAGAGCAATGCACTGAAAGCTTTTCATATTCTTGTTCTTTCACAACATAATAAACAACATTCAATCTGCTCAACTCCTTACTCTGTGAACTAGATATATTCTTGCTGAATATTTATTGTAAACTAAATTCTTGTTCTTACCTGCATAATTGCTAAGGCCTTTTCTCTTCTTTCTGCGCCAATAGAGCCAGATACTGAAACCCATAAGTATAACCCAGCAAGCACCACCAATTCCAGCAATAAAGGCAGGTTGCTTGACAACATCCGTAATTTGTTCTGTTATGCTATTGTTGTTTTCAGTGATGATGACTTCATTACGCCCTCCTGGATAACATAAATAATTGGACTAAATAAATAAAATAATAATAATAGTGCATAATAGCAGACTATTTATGGCAGGGGTAGTCAACCTTTTTATATTTACCACCCACTTTTGTATCTCTGTTAGTAGTAAAATTTTCTAACCGCCCACCGGTTCCACAGTAATGGTGATTTATAATATAGGGAAGTAACTTTACTTAATAAAATTTATAAAGCAGAATTACAGCAAACCCCTACCGCCCACCATGAAAGCTGGAACACCCACTAGTGGGCGGTAGGGACCAGGTTGACAACCACTGATTTATGGCAAGATAAATAAAGTCTAAAAATGTTTTATAACAGAATAATGAACAATTGACTTAAAAAAACAACAACTTGGAAGGTGTCCAAAATCTTAAAACAGTCCTACTAAAGCAGCTCTAGGCCCATGGAATTCAATCTGCTCAACTCCTTTTTCATTCTGTGCCACATAGTAGATAACTGGGAACATTTTGAAGGTTACAAATCAGTATAACCTGCAGTGTTTTGCAGCACAAATATTAAAGGCGGAATGCCTTGATGCAATCAATAGTCTTTAACATTGATAGCTATTGATAAGCTGCTCCTCCATTAACTTATCAATTCCTTTTAAAATGATCCAAAGCATCTGAAATAATTTAACTATGTGTTGTGTGAAAAAGATTTTCCTCCTGCTGATATGTAATATTCTGGTACTTAATTCTGTAGTTTTTTAAGTTCTAACATATTGAAAGTTGAACTCAGACATACTGCTTTTCACATTATCCATGCTTGCTATCCATTATTTCATAGCCCTCTATACATCTCCATTCCAAACTAAAGATTTCAATGGTCACTTTTCTCATGAGACATTGTTAATTTAATTCTCATTAGCTTATATGTGAATGTGATTTTTAGAGTCAACACTCATGATCAATGTTAATCAACCAACACAAAGAAGTAGCCCTTCAAAGTTATGCTTCCACCTTAATTCTCATAGGGAAAAAACAATTTTCCTTCAAGGTGGTAAGTGAGGGTTGTATGACTGAAGACAGAACTTGTATGACTGAAAGATCCAAATCAAGTTAGAAAATTGACACAATGTGGAATTAATGAGTTGACCTAAGAATAGAAAGCCATGGTTCTGGTTCCATTTCAGCTGATATTTTAAAGTTCTGGGTGACAGCTATTGTGGGCAAAAATTGGAGGGAAGAATGTTATGTATACAATGGAAGGATATAAATTTAATTAATACTATAATACTTTTCCTTTGTTCTGAGCAAGGACAATGTACAATGTAAAGACATACTCAATTTTGTGACTCAGTTGGAACTCAGTTTGAGTTCCAATTGCAGTCCTTCGTTGATATTTTGATTCATGGCTGTTTTATACTCTCTTATTCTAAATTTCCCTGTTGTAGCTTGTTTTTTGACATAAGTATCTGCTAAAATTGGAATGGGACATAAATATTGTCCAAAATATAAGAAGTTTCTATAGAATTGTCACTAAGACAAATTTTAAAACAAATGCATTATTAGGGGGGAAAAAACAAATTGCTCCCAAAATAATTTAAAAAAAAGATAGAAAACAATTTAACTGTTTTCCTTCTGGAGATATGTAACGGTATAAATTGCATAACAGTGAAATTCTTACTAAAATAACCACTAATTTTATTTTGCAAAGTGGATACTGTGAAGAAGCACTTTTATTTATTTATTAGATTTTTATTCACTTTTATTACAAAATGGAAAACATACATAATATTCCTTCCTCCTCCTGTTTTCTCCACAAGAGCGACCCAGTGAGATGGACTGGGCTGGGAGAGTAATTGGACCAAAGCCATCCAACTGAATAATGTTGAAATAAAGTGTTTAAGATATTTAGAAAAAACATCTTATAGTAAATGCGTTTTGTACCTAGCTTATCTACTATGAGCAAAATAGAGTTCATATTAATGGAATGTTCTGAACTAGGGTCTCTGCTCAAAGCCACTTCTATGCTCATAACCCAATGTTGGCAAACTTTTTCAGCACAGCATGTCAAAATGGGAGTGTGTGCATGCACCTATGCTGGAAAAAGAGCAGCCATGATGATCTTCCAGTTTCTGGCACACGCTTTTGCACTAGCCACCTGGTCTTATGACTTCTGTTATGCATGCATACACAAAGACCAACTGGCCAGTGCACATGCATGCATCAGAACCTGGAAAGTAGCCGCCTGGTGTGCATATGCACACCGGGAAGATGATCTTCTGGTTTCCGGCACATACATGTACACTGAGCGGCTGCTCTTCCAGTTTCTTGTGCTCCCGCATGTGTGAAGACTAGCTGGACGGCACTCCGGAACCCAGAAGAGCAACGGATGACAACCTACGTACCTAGAGAGATGGTTCTGTGTGCCACTTCGCCATCATGGTCATAACCTCTATTGTAGCTTAAATTACCGCAATACACTCCATAGGGGCAGCCCTTTAAGACCATTAGGAAGCTTCCTCTGGTGCAGAACATAGCAGCACAGACAGTTAATAGTGCTGTTATTCAATATATGAAACACTACTATTCTGTGAGTTGCATTGACTTCAAATAGGCTTCCAGATGGTAATCACTTCTAAAATCTTTTGTGGCTTTGGATGGCATTATTTATGAAATTATTTCTCCTGATCCATCAAGAGGCACTTGCTTAACCATCACAGTTAAGGAATGTGGCTGATAAGGAACATCATTCCCTCCATATTGCTCTAGTCAGGCTCCTGTTGGCCTTTTGGCCCTGAAAACATGATATTGGGGCTGAGTCTGGGGTCTAAGAGTATATATAAACCATCTACTAGATAAGTGAATGGTAGTTTTATAATACTTGGTGATGTGATTTTATTTGTTTAGTATTTTATGTATTTTATTCATGCGTGTGAGATGGGCAATTATACAAATTGATACAGTACTGCTTCACAGTCTCTGAAACTCTGCATGTTGTAGAAATTGTATGGAAATCTACTAAACAATAATTTTTCTGATTATTGATATCTATTATTTAATATAATCCCTCATACCTACTATTGGATGGTAAATGTTGGGATACCAACATTTATCCCTCCACATATTGATTCATTAGGGTTTTTTAATGAAATAATGGTGAAATCATAAATAAAAACAGAATATATAAAAGTTTAACATTATTGTAATTGCATCCATCTAAACTATTATTTAGTAATCTTATATAACTGTTTTTATAATGAATAATACAAATAGTATCTATTACAAAGAACAGTTTTATTTATCTTGTTTTGAAAATCACAAAATCTCTAGAGATGACTCATTTCTTCCCATTTACTGGAAAAAATGTTCATATAATGAACACCCAGTCTAAAAGTCATTAACAAGTAAATTACAAAGTATATAGGCTCCATTTTGGTTAATAGGATTAATTTGCTGTTTGAATGGCTCAGCAGAATTAGGTTCCTTTCCAGTCTGCCACTGAATATGGTCAATTTTGTAATCATTAAATTGTCTAATCCCCAAATAAGCCATTTCCTGAACAAATACATTCTGTATTTTGAAAAAAAATGTGTAAATGTATCATTTAAAAGGTATGGAATTTGCCTCCTTGATCATGAAATGAAAATAAACTAATAATTTATTAAAATATATATGTATTCAAACTATCAGATTTTTAAATTCATTAAATAATTCACTTTATTGCTTTTTCTTTAATTTTTTTAATGAAATATATTTTTTCAAAAGCGAAGCTATAGAATATATGTGAAAGCCATGATCAAATTTGAAACAATTCAAATACCATTTTAGTTTGCCTTGCTTTAAAAACCATGTCATTTTCAAGTTTATTAAAATTTGAAGTTTATTTCTAATTAAGCCATGTCAGCATATTGGTTCTAATCTTAAGTAAATAAAAATAAGATTATTTGTTAAACTGGATGCAAATACCTAAAGACTAGATATTTCCAAATTCTATTTTTCCAGTGCTGGAGCAAAGAAACAAAAATTCTTTTTGTAAATGAGTAGCTGTAATTAGTATTAATTTTATTTCAGGAAAATCTGCATTTTTATTTCAACACTTTTAAAGCACATTTTTTAAATTATAGCTGCCTAATTCAAGAGCAAGCTTTTGCTGCTATAAAGTAATTCCAATTTTGACATTAATTTACCATTCCATCCCAACCTGTAGTATATTACAATGCAGGCTAAAGTAATTTATAAGGAAGTGTGTGGAAAAATAGGGACATTATTCTGCAATAACCATATTGTTTGTTTTTCTCCTTGTGTAAGTATCTTTTGAAGTGCTTTTCTGAGTTTTCTGAATTTTAGTAATGTGTAGCATAAACCAGCAAAATACAAAAATTACAACTGCTTTAAATTGAATATGTTTAAAAAAACAAATTATATCAATAGGCTATATAAAATGTAGCCAGTTTCTGGTAAATTAAAATAAAGAAACATTCTGATTTAATGGCAATGTTTCAAAAGTTTTTGATCATTGGGATAGGTAGATAAATATGAAATATATTATTTAAATATTTTTCCTAATGATTATTTAGGCTGATGAAAATATGGTAGCTTTCTACTTTCTAGCTCATACTTCAAAAACAAATATGGTAAGCATTTTAATTGAGGGCCCTACGGCTAAATCCTACAAGATGTAAAAATCACCTTTTAAATGAAAAATACTTTAGATATGAACCTAAATCATTTATTATAAGTAATTTTATTATAAGTAATTTATAGATTATGTTTCAGTAGTAGGGGACTGTATTGTTCTTATGCCCTTCCCTTCAGTAGTTTTTATAGACATGGAACCATATGTAGGATATTGAGGTTTTTTTTTGCTGCTCTACAATGCTAAAAGGCAACTTAGTGATTTCCAAATTGAAATCTAAATAACTTGGATGCCATAGGCTTTTGAATAGTAATTTACCACTGTGTAAAGCTATTGAACTGTTCCCAAACCTTTTAGGAATGCAACTAACTAACCCTAGGTATCTACACTATGTAAGA